TCTTCTCCCTACGCCTACCCCTACTCCATTCACCAAACCTCATTCCCACTGATCTTCCCCTCTTTACAAAATGATTCTGTTCTTCCATTAGCTCATCTCAGCTTAATGTTGAGCAGGCAGACAGATGTGCTTTCTTCATACAAGGGGGTGCACCGGGTCTTTCAATGGAGAAGCGTATACCCTAATATTTAACTTTCTCACCCTGTCCATTCAATGCCCTTCTAAAATTCTCTGGGGTTCAGTTTTCTCATCTGCAGAATAAGAATAAAACATTGCATACTGCTCAAATTGTTAGAATGGCTATTTTTTTTTTTAAAAGCATCTGATTTGGAAGGTACCTCAGAGGTGTCTTGTCCAAACCATATCTGACAGAATCCAAAAACAAGATGTCCCCAAAGTCAGTGCCATTGCAGCTTAAAACTGCATTAAGACCATTGGGATGCCTGGTCTAGGTAGATCACTAAATGCAGAATAAGTTGAGGACAGGAGAAGCATAAGCTGGCATAGATCCAAGCAGGGTTGCTAGAGGCGGTATCAATGGGCCTGAGCCTTGAAGGAAGGTAAATATTCAGAGAGGCAGGAGGGCTTTTTGGCATGGAGGACATCCCTGGAGGTAGTCTGTGGGATGGTCAGTTGGTGCTGGTGCTCAGAAGAGAACATAGCCCCTGAGATGTTGTCTGACCAAGGCACTTGAGAGATGGTCAGCAGAGACTACCTGCTCTGTGTGTTGGTGGATGTGGGAGGAAACAGGCAAGGGGAGCACAGTGAGAGAATTGGTGGGGAGAGATAGAAGCGTGCTTCAGTTCCTGCCCTCCAGGGGCTCACCCTCAACCTGCCAAACCTGAACCAAAGAGCCCATGCGTGCTGGTAGCATTTGGGGCACAGAGTTGAGACTCTGTCTATTACAAAACCTAACTCAGAACTGACCTCTCTTGTATTCCCTGGAGAAATACAGCTGGAGATGGAGAATTCAGCTGAGGCTGCTGTGGGTGCTCCAGATGCTAAACGAGAGTGACCGAGGAAGCTCACGGTTCCAGCCAATACTTGATGACTTGCAAATTGGTGGCTACTTTGCCTCATGCTGTAGGAGAGGCCTTGACTTCCCTGTGCAAAGTTGAGGTCATCAAGAGTGGAGACTGGGGGGAAAGAAGTCTTCAAATCCACCCTCCTGGCTCTTCCTGAAAAAAGCCAGGAAGATAAAACCCAAAGGGAAGGGAGCTCAGTCTGCTTTCCCAGAGGCTTCCTGTAACTGAAGACTCCCAATGATGGGCAAAAGCTCAGCAGAAGAAGCCACTCACATGCCTTTCCTTTGTTGCTCCAGCAACGGGCACCCTGGGAGGTCCAAGAGTATTCCTTCTGCTTGTGCTGGGGAATAACTGACTGATCACCTGGGCAGGCGAAATGAAGGAGTGCTGCCCTTCGCTTCCACGAAGATCGCCCTGTCATTGATGCTATAACTCAGCACCATCCCTCATCCTCTCAGCTCCCTGGCCTGGCAGAGTAAAGGAGACAGCTCAGGGGTGCGGAAGATGGAGCACTGGGCTGGAAGTTGGTATTGCCAGACCTGAATTCAAATCTGGCCATAGACACTTCCTAGATGTGTGACCCTGGGCAAGTCACTTAACTGCTTTATGCCTCAGTTTCCTCACCTGTAATAATAAGAACACCAACCTCCCAGAGTTGTGAGACTCAAATGAGGTAACATCAGGAAGGAATTTCTATAGTGTGTAAAGTGTTATATGAATGTGTGCTGTTATTGTTATCGGTATTAGGCAAAGGGAAGGGAATAAGCATTCATATAGTGCCTTCTGTATTCTGGGCACCATACTAAGTGCTTCTATAATGAATAATATAATAATGATATCTCATTTGATCATCTCCACAACCCTGTGAGGTAGGTGTTCTTATTATCCTCATTTTACAGTTGAGGAAACTGAGGCAGGGAGCAGCAAGCTAGTAATCAACTGAAGCTGAATTTAATCTCAGGTCTTCTTGATTCCTGACCCAGCCCTCTAGCTAAGGTGCCACACGATTGCCTCATTATTACTAAATCACAGTCCATTTAAAATCCATCCACCCTCCTTGCTAATGCCGGCTCATTTGTACCTGAAGCTTATCCTTTAAAAGTACCTAAGGAGAATATTTCCATTTGGCCAACCCAGGGGAAAAGCTATACCTGAATCATCTGGGGAAAAAGGAAGGAAGAGAAGGGAGGAAGGGAAGAGAGGGAGGAAGGGAAGAGAGGGAGGGAAAAAGGGAGGAAGGGAAGGGAGGAAGGGAAGAGAGGGAGGAAGCAAGGGAGGGAAAAAGGGAGGAAGGGAAGCAAAGAAAGGAAAAGAAAACCTTCCTTCAAATGGGTTAGCCAGGACACTAGTTAAATGCAGGTGTCCCAAGGGATTCCTTTCAGGAACATTGCGTCCTGGGGACTTTGCTTCTCTTCCCTAAGGACTTTCCAAATGAGCCTCTGGATCTTTGCAGAGTTGCTGAAAACTCTTCTCTGTGACATCTGTCTCTGGTTACACTCCCTCAGGACTTTTCCAGTTCAGTTTGCACTTTTTGTTGGCTGTTCACACTGAGCACTTTCCATTTGCCCGGTTTCTCCTCTCTCCCTTCAGCCCTTCCCCCTCTGTCCACCTTGATTCCTGAGCCCCTTCGTCCACGGACAAGCTGGACTCACTGGAGCAGTGCAGTGAGAGGGGATGTGTCTGAAGGTTTCCCAGGAGTAAACGCCCCTGCCCAGGCTGGAGACAAAACTCACTTGTCTTCTGGCTTCTGTGTCAACATTTCAGGTAATTTGTCATTCCATAAGCAGATGTTTCCTCTACCTTGGAAAAAATGTAAAATTCTAGACTGATTTCAAATCGCGACTACTTTGGAAGACTTGCTCAGATCCATATTCTCTCCCAGTCCTCTGGGTAATCCCAAATCATTTCTTTCCCTACTTGTTTTAGGGACTTTGCTCATTTTTTTTTCCATTTCTTCCTATGGCCCCAGGAGGGAGGTGCAGACTGGGACTGAAGCCTCCAAAATATCCCATTTGATGGATAAGCTCCATGAAGAAGAATTGATTCACTTAGTCTTGTTATGGCAAGATTGTTTCTGAATGGGGTTTGAGCTTGAATTAAGTTATTATTTCTGACAAACCAGAAGAAAAATGGTGCTTAGAGTGAGGTGTTCTCTCATCTCCGGTGAATGTGTTGGTCTGGAGTACTGATAGGAGGGGGATGGGATGGCAGGATGATTGAGTCACATGCTCTTTGATATGTGTATGCGTATGCATTGAGAACCGGGCCTCGGCCATGCTGCCGCCCATCAGGGGGACCATTGGCATGGCATTTGCCGAGAATCCAAGAGGACATGGGAAGAACCAGGAGGAAAAGTGAGTAGGACCTTCTGGCGGGCTTCCCTTCTACCCTTCTAATGTGCCAAGTGGAAATGCACTGAAGCTTCCAGCCAGGAGAGGGCCCTGCATAGGCTTCAGTCCCAGCCTCTTTTGCTTCTCTGACTCTCTTCTTTTAGTTATTCTGAGAAAGTTCAGCAGCCGCACAGTCAGTGTCAACCTTTCCCAGTTATTAAATGACTCCCTTTGGTCAAGGCCAAAAGAAAGCTTGGCCAAGCTCTGAGGCCAGGAGGTCAGATTTTCCTCTCGGATTCTACAGATTTTTGTTTTTTAAAGTTGATATTTCCTCACATAATGGGTGATGGGGATGGGCGGATGGGGAATGGGGAAAAATGAATCTCCATAGATCAATTTAAAAAGTCAGCAGAGCAGATTTAGAACATGTCAAGAGCCGTGAGGGAGATTTTGTAAAACTAGGATCAATGTGGTGCCAAGTGTGGAGTTGGGAAGAGCTGGGTGTGAATTCTGCCACTGATGTACCAACTGGGTATCCATGGGCAAAGTCCTTAACCTCTCTCAGCTTTGTTTTATATGTTTGTTGCAAAATAATTACCATCTGCATCAGGCCCTTGACAGGGAGTGTCTATGACTTTCAGGCCAACAAAGTCAGACCACAAAGCCATGGAGATGGTACCTACCCCCCCCCCCCCCCCCCCACACACAGGGCTAATGGAAAGGCCCAGTGGTCCCAACCTTGAGAGCAATGAAGAACTGCTCTGCCTGAAAATCCCTTACCCTGGGATTGGACTGATGGAGAGCCTCTCTGCACTTAGTTGAGATACTCCTTGGATGGCATCACCCAAGAAACTGGAAGCCACCGGGGCTAAAGGGTACCTGCCGATTCTTGCTCTCTACTGCCATGATTGCCAAGAACCCAAGGGTCATACCCATGCTGGGGTGATTCATTCAACTCTGAAGTAAACTAAATATTGGTGCCAAAACATATGGATGGGGCCAGGAGGAAAGTGGGGGGAGAGACAGAAACAGAGACAGAGATGGGAGGGGGGGAGACCCAGAGACAGAGAGACACAGAGATGAGAGAGAAAGAGGGAGGGAGGGAGGAAGGAAGAGAGAGAAAGGACTTTTTTTTTTTAAGCCATCAGTGGAGCATTGGATTCTGCATTTACTTAAAGGAAGCCAGTAGAAGATCTACATTATAGATGACCATTTTTAATATCGTATGATTGGCTTTGAAATCACTATATAGTCATTTCATCCTTCCATTCACCATAAGGGAAAACAAAGCAAAACAACCATATAGTTGGGGCCAAGGCTGGCTCCTGGCCTCCACCAGAGTCCCCTCAGCTGAGGTCTTTCCCATGAGACGATGCCTACTTTCCGATGGACAGAGTGCTAAAGTCTGAAGGCTGTTTTTGTATCAGAACCAAGGACAGCAGCATGATACAGAGGAAAGGCTCAAATTCTACCCTGACTTCTCTGCCTTGGGACAGGTCACTTATCCCCCCTAGGCCTCAGTTGCCTCATCAGGAAAATGGAAAGCTTCCCTAGAGGACCTTTGAGGTTCCCTTGGGTTCTCATGAAGTACCTTCTCATGATGTGGGAATGGTCTCTAAAGTAGCTCTTTCTTTCTCTGTTTTAGGAATGGTGCAGAAATTGGACCAGAAACTGCCTGTGGCCAATGAGTACCTGCTCCTCTCTGGAGGTGTCCGGGAAGGTGTGGTTGACCTTGACCTGGATGAGCTGAACGTCTATGCCCGGGGCACTGACTATGACATGGACTTTACCCTGCTGGTGCCAGCCCTGAAGCTGCATGACCGGAATCAGCCCGTGACTCTGGACATGCGCCACTCGGCTCTGTGCCACTCCTGGCTCAGCCTTCGACTCTTCGATGAAGGCACCATCAGCAAATGGAAAGACTGCTGTACCATTGTGGACCACATCAATGGGGCCACCAATTACTTCTTCTCTCCTACCAAAGTGGCTGATTGGTTTTATGATTCCATCAGCATCGTTCTCTCTGAGATACAGAAGAAGCCCCAGAGAGGGATGCCCAAAGTGGAGAAAGTCGAGAAGAATGGGACGATTCTGTCCATCATTCTTGGGGTGGGCAGCAGCCGCATGCTCTATGACATCGTCCCAGTGGTATCCTTTAAAGGCTGGCCCGCAGTGGCCCAGAGCTGGCTCATGGAGAATCACTTCTGGGATGGGAAGATCACTGAAGAAGAAGTCATCAGCGGGTTTTATTTAGTGCCTGCCTGCTCCCACAAAGGTAAAAAGGACAATGAGTGGAGGTTGTCCTTTGCCAGGAGTGAAGTCCAGCTTAAGAAATGCATTTCCAGTAGCCTCATGCAAGCCTACCAGGCTTGCAAAGCCATCATCATTAAACTCCTCTCCCGCCCCAAAGCCATTAGCCCGTACCACCTGCGGAGCATGATGCTCTGGGCATGCGACAGGCTCCCTGCCAATTACTTGGCCCAGGAAGACTACGCGGCGCATTTTTTACTGGGCCTCATCGATGACCTCCAGCACTGCCTGGTGAACAAGATGTGTCCCAACTACTTCATCCCTCAGTGCAACATGCTGGAGCACCTGTGTGAGGAGACAGTCATGCTTCACGCACGGAAGCTCTCCTCCGTGCGCTCCGACCCTGCCGAACACCTGCGCACCGCCATCGAGCACGTCAAGGCGGCCAACCGCCTGACCCTCGAGCTGCAGCGGCGAGGAAGCACCACCAGCATCCCCTCCCCCCAGTCCGATGGTGGGGACCCCAATCAGCCCGATGACCGATTAGCCAAAAAACTGCAGCAGCTAGTGACTGAGAACCCAGGGAAGTCCATCTCCGTCTTCATTAACCCTGATGATGTCACCAGGCCGCATTTCAGAATCGATGATAAATTTTTCTGAGCTTTTTGACTGACTTGTTTTATTTTCTGGTTTTGATCCTAAGATTTCCATGGTGTTTAGTGTGTATGTGTGTGCGTGTATGTGTGTGTGCGTGTGTGTGAATTCTATCTGTTTTTTACGTGTCCGGCACAGGTTGGATCTGTCGAGAACAGCTGCTTAAAACAAGGTTCGTGGGTCTTCAAGATGGTGCAGTTTCTACAACAGGACATGACTATCTCGCATTCAGCCTTTGCTTTTTCTCTTCCTCCTTTGTGACTGTCATGTTGGTGTTCTTTTGGGGGCTGGGGGCTGGTCCCAGCTTCATTCTGGTTCTTTAAAGGAGGACTAGAGCCATTGCTGCAGATGCCCAGGGTCTTTCCAGCGATCTTTCCCTCCCCTCCTTCCCTTCCTTCATGTCGAGCTCTTGGTGGCAGTGGGGAAACAATCTCCTCACACGGAAGAAGTCTATTTTTGTCCGGGGCTTTTTTTATTTTTAATGAGCTTCCATCACTTGGAATGCTGGAGAGAATGTTCTGAGAAGGGAACCAAACAAATGCCTTGACGTTCCCCCTGAACCAGCCTCCCTGTCCAGTGCTCTGAAGGGCTTCTCTTTTTTCCTCCACCAAGAAAACACATAGACTTTAAAAATGATTAAATGCTACAAATGGTGTAGCCTCGGAAGCAATTTCTTTGAATGTAATCATCCTCAAAGCCAATCTTGTGTGGTTTAGAGGGTGATCTTGCCAGTTTTCCAGGTGGAATAGGTTGACTGAATGCTAGTTGTAGTGGTGTAATTATTTGAAGCCTTATTTAAATCCTATTAAAGAGCGTACCATTGTTAATGTTATTTGCACTAATGAAATCTCTGCCATTGTCTTAGTCCTTGTACGTGTGTTCCCACCTCGATGACCATCTGCCGGTGAAATGCAGCCGTGTTGTCCCAGAGTCCTTCCCTGGAATCAAACTGGAGCAATCTTTTGCATTGGTTGTCTTCTCCTTTAGAAATGAGGTCATGTTATGCCTGCTTGGGCTTTCCTGCCTGAGACGTGTTTTGAAGGTAGTTGCCTGCAATTCGAATAATTACCCAAAGTTCAAGTTAAGAGACATCGGTTCCATCAAGTGTGCACACTTCTCCTGGGGCAGAGAAAGGCCACCTCTGGGATCACTTTTAAAAATAAATGTTGTGAGAATGGAAGCGGTCCTGGCAACCGAGCTCCGCATACTAGATGTGGTACCAGCCGTGTACAAAGCAGAGTTGGATAGGGCAGGACTACGGCGGGCGTTTGGAGACCATGGCCATGCACAGGAAGATGTTTTGCAATCTTGCTGAATAGAAAGAATTCTCTGGCGTCTACATCAAGTACAGTCCTTGGCTCCTTTTTTAATGTAGAGGTAACTCTAAAATGAGGTACTGTTGGCTTGGACAGAGAAAGCCAAGGATGGCCTGTCTGCTGCCCAGCTGCCCATCCAAGGGTCAGGCAGCTTCAGCTCCAAGAGTCTCCCTGCTCTGCTGGATGCCCAAGATGGCGGCTAGAGCCAAGGGCTCCTTCAGCATTCCCTTGGTGACCTCTAGCATTCAGAAGTTTACAGGTCTTATCTTGGTTGAAGTTGGGTTTTGCAGCCTTGGGGTTTGCATGGGAATTAATGTTATGTTTATAAAAGAGAATGAACTTAATCAACCATCTTAAGTCAAAGACAGGTCAAACAATGATAATAAAAAACAGAAATTTTCTGGCTTCGAAAATGCTTGCGTGTGTGTATGTGTGGCAGGTGGAGGGGAGCAATATAATCCAGAAATGCTTTTTATGTCAAAGCCAAACATTCAGAGTGGAACTGACGCTTGGCCTGGCATTGACATATCTAGAAGGAAGAGCTATGTATTTGCTTCCATTAACACACATGTGTCTCTGCCTCCATTCATGATCCACATCTTATGTCAACCAGATGTGGACGCTTAGGATAATACAGCCATTTATAGTGACGACTCTTGTGTCCTGTCTGGTAAAAAAAAAACAAAACAAAAAAAACCCCCCAAATCAAATTTCATGTGACATTTTTAGATTGTGCCAAAGATGAAAAAAGATTTTGATGTTATTAGCTAAGCATTCCAAGAGAGTTTACAAAAAGCAAAATGCTATCCACACACACACACACACACACACACACACACTATGTTAAGACAACTGTAGTTCAAGGCAGTCCTACACACTGAATTTGCATTGTCTACCATCTGAGAAGTTAAACTATTTACTGCAGTGTTCTTTCCAATGGGTCTATGATCTCACTGCTTTGAATCTACCCTTCCACAATACAAATCCCAACCCATCGATGTCTGCCCTACCCATGTGACTCTCATCTTAGGACTCCTGTGGATGAGAAACTATAGAATTGTGTGCTGTTACTCAAAATCACTTTCAATTAATTAGTGGATAAATAAAACTTATTCGATTTTTCATTATGTATTAGGTACTGTTCTAGGTAGTGATAGACTAAGATAAATGAAAGAGTTCTTGCCTACAAGTTCTTATATCCTAGGGGAATAAGGGAATAATGTCCACTCATATAAATAACTGAAAATTATAGGCAAAGTACATCCAGAGTGAATTTTGGGAGGGAGGACACAAGCAGCCGAGGACCTCAGGAAATGTTTCCTATAAGTCTTGGAGGAAGCCAGAAGCTCCACTAGGTGGAGCTGAGCAGAGCAAACATTCCTGCATGAACTCAAAAACTCATTACTGATGTCACCAGAGGTTCCAAACCCCTTCCTTACCTTTGCTGATGTCAAGCAGCTTACATCCATCCTGGTTCCCGAGTTTCCTCAGAAAACATCAGAAAACTCTACGGGGTCTCTATTCTGTGGGAGCTGGATTTTTATCAAATGGGATAATATATATAAAACACTGTTCAAACATCGAAGCCCTATAGAAATGCTAGTTATTATGATTTGTTTAAAAACATAAAGGGTTACTTCTGGTTTTTTTTTTTTTAAACCTAGGAATAATGGAAATATTAGAGCCTTGTTTGAATTTTATTCTGGAGGGAAGGGTTGTATTTCTGTTTTGTTTTAGGAAAAAGGCACAGTTAGAATAATTTACAAACACTTCAGTTTATCTTTTGAGAATACCCAATAGAAAAATGCATATAATTGTACCAAAACATTAAATCCTAGACCCATAAAAATGTTTTAGTATGGCATAGTCCTTAGATCTTGTGATTGTCCCTTCTCTCACCTAAACTTTGGAGGTGGTTTTGTAAAGTGACATATGCTTTTTCCTTTCTGATAATCCCTGAGTTTCTGAAGTACAGTTCCACTTTCATAAATCATTCAGGGAAGCTTTAAGACTCATTTTAAAGGTTTAAAGTAATTTCAATGTGGCTAGCTCTTAAAACTCAAGTGACAACATTATACAGATGATGTATATGAGGAAAGTTTTCATGTAGCCAAGATCTTAATTTTATTTCAGTAGATTTGCTTTGTTCATTTCCCCAAGAAAAGAAATGAATCACAATCGCAAATGCAGTAGGTTGGTTTGAGGATGTAGGGCAGCAAGCATTTATTAATTGATAACTGTGTGTCAGTAGTTCACATTCTAATGTGGGAGACATTATACAAATAGATATGTATGTACAAATACAGCTGAATCTGAGGGTAGTTTCAGAGAGAAGGCATTAGCAGTGGGCAGGAGAGGGTCATTACAACAGCTTTCACTTGCAAAAAGAAAAAAGAATTAGATGCCAAAATTGATGCACAACATATCCATTTAATACTAAGATCCCTCTTCACTGCATCGACATTCTTGTTTTACAGTATTGACTTGGTCATCTCATGATATCAGACCTAAAGACAGTTCTGTGCTTACTGAGCATCTGGCAAAGGTGAGGAAGGGCAGATGGGGACCTTATTGCCAAACAATTCTGCTTCTCAGCATCTTAATCCTAGAATTATTTTTCCTTTGCAACGGAGGGGAGAATGAAGAGGGGATGTGTCATGGAGACACCTGGTTGGAGTGGGCAAAGGGAATCGTCAACAAGTCACTCAGTGTTTATTAAGTCCTTACTATATGCCAGCCACTGTGCTAAGTGATAACAATGCAAACAGAAACAAAAAAGCAGAGCCTGCCATCCAGAAGCTTTCTGATGAGGAAAGACAATAAAAGGGGGTGGGGGCAGGAGGTGGGGAAAGGTGACAGCTCAGGGGAACAGAGGAGAAAGAAGTCTAGGGAGTAGGAAGCTAATCCTGGAGAATGGCATAGACACGGCCTGGGTGCTTCCTCAAATGGAAGGTTCAGGAAGGAGCTGACCAATCAGAAAGTGACCAACGAGAGAAGCATCTTCCTTCTAGAAAGAAGCACAGCTGAAGGATGCTGTTGTTTGTCTTTTGTTCTTGAAGAGGACTGTAGCATCAGGAAGGTAAGGTCATGACCTGCAAGGGAATTGGATTCAAGTGAGACAGGTCTGTGCAAAGTCACCAGCCTCACTTTCTCCTCCGGAGCCATCTGAGTCCAGGGGCCAGATATAGATTAGGACAACTGGAGATGGCCCAGGATGCGGTGGGAGACCTTGGCCTTGTATTGTGTAAAAAGAAATCCAGAGAGGAAGGGGTGGAGGAAGAAAGCAACGAAGGAGGAGAGTAAAAATTCCTTTGGGGAATATTTTTTCTCCATGTTCCACCACCTGGAGATTGGGTATACGACACAAGAAAACATTTACTCCCTAGGTTTTGCTTCAAGGGGAGGTCTGTGTTGTTAAATGAGCAGTACCCATGGGGCATGTCCTCCTTCAGTTCTCTTGCCTCTGGGCAATCTCAACAGTGAAGCCAGGTCTGCCAGAGAAAGGCCAATAGAGCTTTGATACAAAACTCTTACAGGAATGATGGCTGGGACATCCCTGGGGAAACACCTGCTCTGGTCCAGAAGCCTCTTGGATGCCTTAGAGTTCCCTTGGAGAGTAAACAGGCCTTAAACAGGGGCAACATTAGTGGGAATAAACATTTTTCCCTGGAGAAATAACTTTTCAGAATTCTACATTTTGCCTTCTTTCAGTGAGTGGTGAAAGCACCTCCTTAAAACTAGCCTAGACAGAGGTAGTGCAGGGTCAGACACCAAGCATGTGATTCTGCTTGTAGTGCTGACATTTCTTGCAGAACCCGTGGCAGAGTTATTGTTTAAAAAAAACATTCCAAATGGCTACTTCATTAATAAAAAAGAAGGGAAAAAAGCATATATGCTTTGGAAAGCTGGGTCATCAATTGCATTGCTTTGAGTTTACTTAACAACACAAGCAAACTGTATTTCCATTCTCAGGTAAGTCCACCTAATTGGCATATGACAGTTGAGGATGCTGGGTTAGCAGATGGCTTTCAGAAAAGTCAAGTATCTCCAGTGGTGGTATCGAAGGATGTTTAAAGAAGCAATCTCAGAGTCTTGGAGTGGGAAGGGCCTTAGGGGCCATCTTGTACCTAAACAGGAATCCCTTTCTTCAATCCTACACACACACACACACACACACACACACACACACACACACCCCCCTACCTCTTACAAGGGTCATCCACCTTTCACTTAGAGATCTCAAGTGAAGTGTATAACCCATCTCACCCCTCCTTCCACCCTCATGACATTCCACTTGGTTATAGCTTTAATTGTAAAATTATTTTCCTTAAATTAGGGCTGAACTCAACAATCAACATATATCACTGGTGACCATGGGCAGGGCATTTCCCATCTATGGGGCTCAGTTTCCCCATCTGTAAAATATGGTTTGGACCAGCTGACCTCTAAGATACCATCTAATTTTGAATTTGTGATCTGTGAATTGATACCCCTCACCTGTCTAGATCACCTCCCCAAATCCAACACAACTTAACAGGTTGCTTTCTTGTGATACACTTTCATATACACCCTTTTTTTCTTCTCCACCAAGTGGACTCCTGTTAGTGCCAGCTGTGTAAAACCCCATCAGTCAGCTCAGGAGGACTGAGAAGCTCATTCTATAGTCAGGAAGATCTGACCTCACATCCAGCCTCAAACACTTAAGAGTTGGGTGACCTTGGGGAAGTCATGGCTGCTCTTTGCTTTAGATTCCTCCTTTACACAATGGGGATAATAATACCATCTACCATCTACCATCTACCTCCTGGGACTGTTCTGTGCACAAAATAAATATTTGCAAAGAACTTTACATAAGTTAAAAATTAAAATTTTAAGCTTTATATCAATTGGTATTTTATTATTGTTTCAATTTTCCTTTCAGAGACTTTCAAAAGTTCCCATTTCTAGTTTCAAAAATATTCTGTTATCCATTCACCCATTCATCCATCTTTCCATCCATCTATCTGTCCAACCATCCATCTGTCTGTCCATCTGTCCATCCATCCATCCATCCATCCATCCATCCATCCATCCATCCATCCACCCATCCAACCATCCATCCCAGAAATATTTGTTAAGCACCTCCCATATGCCAGATACAATCAAGTGTGAGCACAAAAAGACAAAAAAGAACAGTCCCCACCCTCCACTGGTAGGAGTTTGAGCTCTGGTAGAGCCCTACCTCCTCCTTCTAAACCCTGGAGGGATGTGGGGTTCAGGCTGCAGGAGGGGCATACTTTTGCCATTGGGATTCAAGCTGATACATCAGGGATTTTTCTTTGTTTGCTTCCCTCAGTCTGGTTCTGAAAATTCCTTGATGGCTCCTCTGCTTTCTCCTGAGAGGCTGTCTCAGCAAAGAAACAGGGTCGGGGAG